TGTACAAGCCACCAGTCCCCATCCTCTTGAACCAACAGAGATCTGACGTTAGCACAGAGGTGCATATGAGCAACCCCCCTCTGCCCGGAATTTCATATTTCTCCAACAGTTCCCCCCTTTTGTGAGCAACCAAACAAATCAGCCAGTTCTGGTAACTCCGGGTGCTTCCTCTTTCTCCGGAAGCAGCTTCGATCCCTGCAGCTCAGATGGGGATTGTCTGGGTCAAACCCCTTGATCTCTTTGCCCCCTCCTTTGGCTGCAAGGAACTCCGTGCCAGCCAGCTCTCACCTCCAACTTGCTCCCCTGCACTTTGCAGTGCTGTTACCCAATCGATTCTGAGGCCTGGCTCCTTTGCTCCCTAGGCCCCTCCTTTTGACCCATTGACCCAAAGAGATCATCCTCATTGGGGCTGAGACCCCCACGATGATGAATACCCTGTCTAAGGCTCCATCCCTTTTTGGTCAGCAGACTTGGGTTAGCCTGCCTTGCAAGGTGGGAGCAGTGTGAGGTGAGGCAATGGCCTAAAGTCCAGTTCAGTCATCAGCTTTGCCCTTTGAGGCGATTCTTCGAGATTTCGTTGTCTAGGCTTCACTCAGCTTCTGGACTGAGCTGTACACTTGGCTGTAGGACTTGCCTCTCACGGTTTGCCTGGTTAGTCCTTTGCTTCCTCGTGGACGATACAAAAAGCAAGGCAGAACACAGGAATCGCAGCCTTTGCAGTTCCAGCTCATCTGGTGTCTGGAAAGCACAGCTCACAAAACAGGGGGGATTAGAAAAAATCCTTTACATTTCTTCACAGACGCTGGTTAACCACGTTAGCTTGGAGAGAAAGTTGAGACATTTGTCCCTTTTCAAGCCTGGTCCCCCCCACAAGTCCGTTCAGCACAGTCTCACGAAAAATGTCTGAGATGCTGAAATCAAATCCAACCCATGCCTAAAGCGCACACAAGAGAAACCCCTCGTTGAACTTGAGTGCTTCAAACCCATTGCTTGCCTTGGTAAAAGCAAAATGTGCCTTCTGATGGCGTTTGTCCAGTGAGAACATGGTATCACACAAATTCTTACAGATATGGTACCCCCTTCCCACATACATAAATACAAAAATGTCTGAAATCCAGTACATATACATGCAATTTGAACTAGCACCCTTTACAATCAAATAATCAATGCTTGTTCATCTTGATGAGCACGACTGCTTATGCTCACAGCAAGAAGAATAAAAAAACCTCACCATTTCCTGGGGCGAGCAAATGGGCATAGCCCCCCCCCAAACATTAGGTTGCTGTAAGGAAAACTCTCCTTAGCGTCATCAGGATTCCTTCCTTGTACAAAACACCCTCCATAGCTCTCTTTCCTTGTAAGATCTGGAGCCTGATCAACATTGCAAAAAGGAAAAGGGGCAACCCACTTGTTGTGGTCGCACTTGTTGTGGGTTCCACAAGTAGTCTCCTTGGGGTTTTCGAAAAGAACCCCTCCCGCTGTGCACCCCTGCACACGCACACACCCAACCAAACCGCCCCCGTTCCAGCCGTTACCCCCCTTCCTCCAATCTCTGTGTTCTGGCACAGCCACAAGATGGTATACCTAGAATTCAGAAGATATTCCCCTCCCCCTTCCACGCAACACCCCTGGTGGCCAACACAAACAATTAAAGCTTTCCCGCAATACTGCTTCTAGAAGGCTTCCTTCCCTAAAAAATTCCACCAGCCTCCCCATTCAGAGTGCTCAAGGATCCCTTGTTTCAACCCCATCCCTTCCCACGCAGATGTTTTCCTGAGCCAATACAGGCTTTGAACTCTCAGAGAACCTCCAAAGTCTCCCCTCAGTTGCAATGCCTTATTGTCCCCCTTCCTTCAAGATTTAAACACCCCAACATTTTCTTGTAGAGTTTTCTAGACACTCCAGATCCCATCCAGAAAACCAATGCAAGCCTGCCCCCAACTCGTGGCTGGAGGCAGCACTGCCCCAACTTCCCAAAGCACTTTGAACTCTGCACATGCTCAGAGGCTCTTGTATGTGCGCTCCCTCTGCAGCACTCACAAAATGGTAGTTCCTTCTGCCAGAGCACTCCCCTTTCTTGGCTGTGTGGATCCCACAGTCAAGAAGTTTCCAGCACACATTTCCCTGAATCCCGTTGGCCAGACCAAATCCAGAAAAAGCTGCAGTCGCTGCCCCTTAAATCAGGGAGTGCTCTCCAGCAACTGAGGCACACCAACGCTCCTCTTCTTTTCTTGCTTTTTCCTGCATTTCTTTTCCCAAATGAAAAGTGTGCACCATGGCGCCCTGAAACAGCAGGGGTTTGATCTCGATGGCCTTCGTGGCCCCTCCCAACTCCTCCATTATGTGCCTCCATGAAAAACTTTAGCAGTTTCATTTCTTACACGTTTTTCCCATTTTGTACCAAAACACTCAACCACCATTTATCCAAAACTCTTAAATAGCCCACTCACACACCAAGCTCCATGCCCCGCCTTAAAGCAAGGAATTCCTGCAAAATACATCACCTCACATACTCGCATCCTCACATGCCCTCCAGCACAATCTTTCTTACCAATTTATTTATTCATTTAAAGTTTTAATATGCCATCTCCTTGCTACATAGCCTTGGGACGGCTCACAGAAATAAATACAAAATAATAACAATTACAATTAAAATCCGGAAATACACTGGCTGCACAATTAAAATCTATATTAAACTTTATTAAAATACTGTTTGAATAAAAAGGGTCTTGGCCTGGTGCCGAAAAACAAATAACGACGGTGCCAGGCAGACCACTCTGGGGAGCGCATTCCACAGATGGGGCGCCACCGCAGAGAAAGCTCTCCTCCGGGTACTTTGCTTCCTGATATCTCTCACGGAAGGCTCCTGGAGGAGGGCCTCTGCTGCCGATCTCAAGGGGCGGGAGGGCAAATATGGCCACAGGCATTCCTTCAGGTATCTGGGTCCAAGCTGTTATGGGGTTATAAGTGATTACCAACACCTTGAATTGATGGGAAGCCAGTGAAGCTGGTAGAGAACTGGGGTTATATGAGAATAATGCCCAGTCCTCGTCAGCAACCTGGCTGCTCTATTTTGCACCATCTGAAGTATCTGGACTGTCTTCAAGGGCAGCCCCATGTAGAACGCGTTACAGAAATCCAATCGGGAAGTAACCAATGCATGTATCATTGTCGCTAGGCAGTCGTCCTCCAGGTAGGGACGCAGCTGATGGGTTAACTGAAGCTGGAGGAAAGCGCTCCTCGCCACCGCAGTCACTTGAGCTTC